ATTTCCCTAATAATGAATAGAAGAATGGGAATCACCACCAAGTATTGTTTTTTCACCAATAATTTTAGAAACTAAACCAGCATTACCACTTACATCTCAACATCTTAACAGTTCTACAGCAAAACTGTTTTAGTAAATCTTTGGACCTCTGATCTAACCTCTGCAGAGCCAAGTTTCTTGAAAGAATACTAGTTTCTCATTATCTTACTCTTCAAACGAAATCTAGATTCTGCTGGCTGAGTTTGTTTATCCACCGTGTTTTCAAACTTTATTTCACCTGACCTCTCTGCAGCTTTGGACACTGCAAACCACTTCTCTCTTGGCTTCCCTAACCCCACTTTCCTCCTGTTTCCCTACCTTCTTTTTTCCTTTAAGTCTTCATGACTCCTTTCTAACTCCGCAATAATGGTGCTCTTCAGTAAGCTCTACTTAAGCCTCTTTCACTTTTTCTTTTGAGCATTCTAACGCACTTCCATACATTTACACAATACAAGGGAGAAGTCTTGCCTCATGATAGATATTTGGGGTTTTATCTCCCACAAGCCACCTCCCACTCTGTTGCACTAATCTTTCTAGAACACAAATCTGATCAGATCTCTCCCCTTGTTTAAATCTCATTAAGAACAGAGTCCAAAATCCTTACAATGGCATATAATGCCTCATGATTTGACCTGTACTTCCTTTCCAATCTTACAATTTCCCCATTAATCACAATCATGCACAGCTTTGTATTTAGATTTTTCGGTTCTTCAAACTGACCCCAATTCAAAATTGAAATGTCACCTCCTAGGTGAAGCTAGAGCATTATTTGCCCCCCTAACCCACATTACTCTTTGTACATGAATTCACTAATTAGCTGCATTTACATCTCACTTTTCAGTAGAGCCATCTAAAGGCACAACCACAGTGATTAAAAAAAATAAAACTGAAGACCTTGGAAAGATTTGTAGAGGAAAAGGATTCAATACACTGACAAAAAAAATAAAAGAAAAATGAGGAAAAGTAATTCAGTTACAACTGTAAGTAATCTCCATCAAGGCTAAATGAAATCTATTTCTAATATATGACAACTAGGATGAAACCAACATTTAAAAGATTTAATTTTAAGCTAGTTAAAATGCAATTTCTACCTCAGATCTGGTTTAAAAAAAGAACTGCTATTCAACCTTTACAACTGCAGGTGAAAATGAAATGACTTTTACTGATGAGAGACACTGGCCTAATTATGTTAGCTCTCATCAGATTAGAAAGTGTAAAACAGTAGTCATCCAAAGGAAACATGCTAAGACTGACTGAGCATCTGTCTATCACTAAGAAAAATTTTAAATGAATGAGAATGAAAATAAGTGCCACAATAGAATCTGGTTCATTCTACCTTTTTAAAGCTGCAATCAGCATACCTTAATCATTACAGAAAAAGAGTTAAAAAACAAAACAAAACAAAAAAAGCAAAAAACTTGTACTCATGTTACTTTACTTCCACATTAATTACACAAATGAACCACAGTATAACCCTTCTTTTTTTTTTTTTTTTTGTAAATTCTACCCCCAACATGGGGCTCAAACCTATGACGCCAACATCAAGAGTCACATGCTCTAATGACTGAGCCAGCCAGGTTTCCCATAACCCTTATTCTTTCTTAATGTAATATCTGCAAAATTAAAATGTCATTATTATAATTGCACAGTGAAATATAGGAATAAACCTAAGTAAAATCTTGGTATTAAGAAATTTGAATTAATAAATATTTGTATGACAAATTTTGTTTGCTCACATCATATAAAAGTAGTTGGAAACTATGTTTTCCTTCACAAATTCTTACAAAGACTATCAACCCTAGGGTGGATTAATGATACTTCATGAGGAAAACAATGAGGAGAGGATCAAAATAAGCATCCTTTTCTTAAGAGCAGCATCTGTGAAAAGAAAAACAGCAAGACAGCTCATTTCTGGTAAGTTACTACAGAAATCAGATTGGATATATTCTTGTGCTTTTTCACATCATATGCCTGTTTACTAATAAAAACATAAGCTTAGCAATGAATAAAGGTATATGTGACAGAGGCCAAATTGGTATTGAATGAATGGACAAAAAAAAGCAAAGGCAGGAGCTGGGCAAACCCCCTTCCTCACCACCTTCTCTAATACAATTAGATGAAGAAAAAACTCTGCTCCCACAGTACTTTTTACATACCTCAATACGAACTGCTTTACATTAAACTATAATTATTTACTCACGTTTGTCTCTCCAACACAAATTCCAAACTTCCTCTCTTGTATTCTTAAAAAATATACGTATATGTACTTAAACATCCTGTTTTTTAGATTCAGAATCGACAACAAATCTTTCATTAAAAAAATATCTTAGGCAGAGTTCTTTTCTTCTTCTTCTTCTTTTTTTCTTTTTTTTTTTGAAAGAACATCCTCTTTTTAAAAGTTAAATATCTACATGATTTTCTTTGAAATGAGCCTGGGATGCTCCTAACCCAACTTCTGGTGGCAAAATTAAGTTTTTTCTGGGCACTAGCATCAGAAGTTGCTACTTCTTACCTAAACTTACATTTCTTGTCCCCTTTATATCCTAAAATCTGGGGAAAACCATCTGGTCCTAAATATTCTATAAAAATAATGTTGCGTGTCTTCCAAACAAATGTCATTGCGCGTAAGTTCCAAATATAATTAATGTTATAAAATCATTACACTATAGAAATTACAACCAATAATAACTATACTTAGTAAACTATTTTAATGCAGTTATCATGAAATAAGACCTAGTTCTACAAACTCATAAACTAGCAAACCTTCAGATGACTAATTCTCCAGTATAAACCTTAAGGAAATTTAGGACTGTTAAAGATTATGGGCTTAGAGATGACAAAAACCAGGTATTTTGCTATTTCCCTTCTCAACCTCCCCATAATCTCCACCCTCCCATTTACTCCATGGCTTCCAATATATTAAAATTAAAATGCTGTTTGTCTTCCTCTAACCTACATTTGTCAGCACTGAGTTACAAAATGTCCAAAAAGTGAACATAGAGAAGGCGGTAAAGTTTTACTAAAAGTTTACGAATTTGAAACCTCCGAATAACAGACTTGGTAAAGCTACGGGTCTTTTCCCTGTCCCCCACCTTAAAAGGCAGCAATGTGTAAGAATCAATCAAGAGTGGTAAAGCAGAATCACAGATAAAAACCGTAGAATTACGCAGAATGGAACTTTACAATTTTCAATGCCAAAGTTCAATATGGTATAAGCAACACTATTCCCCAAACTGACTCTTTTTTTTCCCCTCTAACAATCTAAATCAACCTCACATACAAACAAATGTTAATGAAACCTAGGCTTCTGATGTACTATTACAAATGTGATTTTAGACTTTCTTGTATTTCACTAACTTGGTGCCAACCCATACACGTTTACATTAAAAAGCAATAATACACCCAGTAAACCAATCTTAAGAAACAAGACTCTATAGTGTGACACATGGGGATCACCAAAGAGAAACTTACTTTTAGTATATTGACACTGACAAATAAGCGGTTCTGATGGTTCAGAAAAGTTACTCATCTCATAGACCTAATAATGACGCTAAAGGGAACTTTGTTAAGTGACACACCCAGGGCGGACCGCCACGTTAAGGATACAACTCTTCCGAGGTGGAGAGGGCTCTCGCCAGCCCTGACTGCTGCTGAATCCGGATCCTGCTCCTCCTCCCAGAGGAGGTCTGCCCCCCGACTTGCCTCCTCGCTCACCCCCTCCTCGCCCCCGACTCCAGCGACTTCCACCCCGGTACGGCCTGCCTCGAAAGCGGAAACGGTCCAAGGCGATGTGGCTCCGTTCCCAAAAGGACGGTCGGGGGCTGCTTTCGGACAGCGAGCTCGAAGGCATCCGCACGGAGGGCGGGTGAGACCGGAACGGCTCTTTGGGTCGGTAGCTGCTGTGTCCCCTGAGGTGGCCCCGCTCCGACGCGTGCCGCGAGCGTGAGAAATTCCTCAACTGCTGCTGAGAAGAGGACGACGACGAGGAGGAGCCACCGCCTCCGCCAGATCCACCGCCCCGGGCCGGGTGAGGAGGCCTTCGCCGTGGATACGGTAACAGCCCGCCGCCACTGCTGCTGCTGCTGCTCCGGCTCCGTATCTGGCTGTTGTTATCGTCGTCGCTGATTTCCCCATCTTCTAGCTCGCCTTCTTCCTTGGGCGAGAGGCCACTGGAGGCCGGGGCCGGAATATCTGCGGTCGCCATCCCGGGAGCAGCGCCTTCCACACAACCTTAGCCCTCCGTCCGGGGATCCGCCCGACAATTGCCTTCCTCCTCGGTTCCCTTTTTTTCTAACGGACCCGGTCGGTGCGGCCTTACCCTACTCGGACACCTAGCGGGCTTTGCTCCCCAACTTCCCCGCACCCCAGCTCTTTCTCGCCGGACCGTCGCAATTCAGTTCCCTTCCCTAGCGCCCCCTTGCTCCTCCGCGCTCGGGGCTCTTCCGCCTCGCGAGAAAGGGGCTCTGGAAGTGGCTCGCCCGTGACGTCGCTTCCTGCGGCACGCAGGAAACAAGGCTTCCAGTTCACGCGATAATAAGCCGGACAACGCGATTCTCAGTGGGACTTGTAGTCTTTCTTCTCTCTCCCTTCGGGTTTGTCCTTCCAACCCATAGCTCACACCCACCGCGGGCTCGGGATTGGGATATCTGGGTGCGTGGCGGGGTGGGCGGGCCCGTTCTTAATCTTGGCCGCAAGAGTTTCATAGTGATGGGGGGAGGGCAAGAGACACCTTTCTAACTGCTCTGAGGTCGGCTGCCAAAGAGACGCAGTAGTCCCACTGCCTTTTGGGGGCCGGGAGGGGGTGGCTTTTGTCCGCCATGTTGGTGAAGGTAGACGAAGGAGATCGGAGGTCCAGGACTGTCTGCTCTGCTGGCTGAAGTCCGCCATATTAATAAAGAGACAGAAGGTTGACACCACCACCCCCCCAAATACACACAACCCGTCTTTCCCACCCCGTTCCCACGACTCCTGTCGGTGGGCCCTTCCCCTGCCTCGCTTGCCTAGCCTTTGCGCGAAGGAAGCGTAGCAGCCAGCGCCTCAGAACAGGCTTAAGACAGCGCCGAATGAGGGGGAAAGGGAAATGCCGACCAATTGCGCCGCGGCGGGCTGTGCCACTACCTACAACAAGCACATTAACATCAGCTTCCACAGGTAACCTGGGCAGGGAGTGGGGGTGCCGGAAACGGGAGCTCCTAGATTGGGTGTCGCTTGTGTGGAAGGAACAAGAGGATTCTACTAATTCTGAAGACTTCACTACCTAGCTGGTAGCAGGGGAGCATCATTTCTGTCCGCCCTTTGTGTGTGTTTCTCAAATATGCCCAATTTTTCTGTCACTTCAGGGAAGGTTTACTCACTTTGTACAAGAAATCCAAGTTCTGTGTGGTGGCTACCCCTTAGAGAGAAAGTGAGAGGATAATATCTTAATTTTCTATTCTTTCATGTATTAGACTGGGCCTTGACATGAATGATGCCTTAAAAGGAAGCGAAACCTTCCTGTTCAAGTCCGCAGTCACCTTAAAAGCCTGCTGTGTGCTTTCATCAAAGTTAGGAAATTGTCACGAGCTGAATTGGCATGGGAAGCATTTCGATTTCGGTCACATAACAGTTAACTGCGGAGGAGTTGAGTCATCATTGATAGCTAAAGAATTAAGTGATGTTAATGAAAGTGCAAAAGATAAGCTTTCTATTCTTAACGGAACAGTAATAAAAAGAACTTACGTTTTGCTTTTCCTCCGATTGCTGGAAGAGCGATCAAAATTATTTAGTTCTGTCACATCAGAACTCTTGAAAACGTTTTGGACACTGCATGAGATATAATAGGTACTCTATAAATGTTTACCTTTGTAATATGCAAGTGCCTGCCATGTGCCTGAAGAAGCATTAAAAGAAAGTTAAGTGCAAATAGTTCTGATTTTATATATCTCACAACTTAATACGATCTTAGAATGTGGAAAACTATATCCTTGACCCTTTCCCTACCTAATTATGACTAAATGCCCCTCTTATTAAAAACTGCTGCTTTAAAAAAGTCCTTGTGATGTTTCTGATTTTCAGCTATTTGATGGAAACGTAGCATTTCATTCATTCATTCATTCATCAAATGTGTACAGAGTTCTCATTTGCCTGACATAGTGCTAGGGATCTAGAAAATTCTTACACCTTGAATTTAGCCTGTAGTGAGAAAGAAAGACATAATTATGGGTCAGTGCCACAGTAGAGATACTCGGGGATACCTAACTAAGCCTTAGTAAGTCAAAGAACACTTCTCAGAGGATGTGAAATTTCAGATAGTACCAAAAGATGTCAGAGATTTAGTCCTGTGTGCTACGTCACAGATTTCTCATTTACCCAGTAAGTGTTTGAGAAGACGTGAAGGTTTTTAAAAGAAAGACATGATTAGATTTGCATATTAAAAAGCCATCTGGCTGCAGTGTGGAGAATTATTGGACACTTAAAGTGCTGGTCAAGCATCATCAAGAGATGAATTTGATGAGAAAGGAGCTTATTACACAATGTTAATTTACCTACTATTTCTTTCACAGAGAAATTCTGCTATAATGTCAACTGAGCTAAGCAATATACTTCATTGCTGGCACAACCAGCAGTAAATTAGAAGAGGTGAGAGTTATAGAGAAAAAAACAGAAACTTGCAGTAAAACAAGAGAGAGTCCACCAGTAGCCTAGACTAGAGTGGTACTGACAGAGATGGAAAGAAGTGGACAGATTTAAGAAATATTCGAGTTAGGGGCGCCTGGGTGGCTCACTCGGTTAAGCGTCTGACTTCGACTCAGGTCATTATCTCACAGTTTGTGGGTTTGTGCCCTGTATCGGGCTCTGTGCTGACAGCTCAGAGCCTGGAGCCTGTTTCAGATTCTGTGTCCCCCTCTCTCTGCCCCACCCCTGCTTATGCTCTGTCTCTCAAAAACGAATAAACATTAAAAAAATAACATTAAAAAATTTTTTTTTAATTTTTTAGTAGAAACTACCGTGTTTGGTGATTTGATGTGGAAGATGAGGGAAAGAGGAGTCAAGCAAGGCACCGATAATATTGAATGTTTAAGAGATACACAGTGATACAGTAACATGCATACTTGACCATTTTTCTTCCTATGAAATTAGCATTTTCATGTGTAACCTCAGAAATTTAGATCTTAATATTATAATAAATTACATTCCTATTTCACAAATACAATGTCTGACTAACTTCTAGGATGTTGGTAGACATCTTTATCCCCATGTACAACTTATGTTGCCTCAACTTACTGTCTCCATTTTTATCTCTTAGCCCACTGCAGTCTTAAGTCTCCCCAATAATCTTCTGAACTTCTCTTGCTGAGTTGTCATTTTTGTGTTTCTTTTTTATGGCATGTGATCATTTCTTCCATGAAATACTCTCTACTTTTGAATTATTTGACACTAATTTTGTGATTTTTGTCTTTGATCTGTTTTCTCTGCCAGCCCCTTTCTCTGCACCCTGACCTAGGTCTTACCACTATTCTCAAAATGATTTCAACTGTTCTGTGGTCTCAGTTAACACTTAATCCACGATGCCTCCCAAATCAATATCTCCAGTCCAATCTTTCTAATGAGTTCCAGACCCCATAGGACAAGTGTCTCAGTATTTGCCTGGTCTTTCTTTAGTTCCTTGGGTTCAACATATCAAAACTGTACTAATGAGCTTGCTCTTCCCCCAAACCTACACCACTTCCCTTAACCCCTTTCTCAGTAAATGAAAACACTATCCACCCAGAAGGTGGTAGGTCATCCTCCCTTGACTTCTCACCATTCCCTCTTGATTGGATTATTACAACAGCCTTTTAACTGGTTCACTGCTTCTATTCATACACTCCTAACCTCTCTCTATAATCGTGGCTGTGTTGCTAAAGGTTTAACAACAGGACCTTCAGGGAAAGAGGATAGCCCTGATTGATAGTATTTGCCCAATTTCCATGATATAAATACTCCTACCATGACTAGTTTCAAGTTACCAATATGATATGACTGATCATAGAGTTGGGAATAAATGTGCAGTACCACACTGTTCTATAGCAATTATACCACACAGATATAACAGACATAAATAACTTCAAGAGTATAGATACAGTAATTAAGAAATGATGGGTTTCAGTATTTATTACCTTTGTTCTTAATTTAATTGCAAATATACCTAATTTTTAATGACTGTGTTCAACAGCTAGTTAAGACATGTTAATAATCAGCTCTCTAAAGTAGGCCTTTAAAAAATAAAAATAAAAAAATAATAAATTAGGCCTTTAAAAGGCTTACCAGTGCCATTTTGGATAGAGTTCAAAATTACTCTTTAACCCAGAAAGCCCTCCAACATCATTTCATGTCATAACACTCTTCGCTGTCCCCAAGCTAAAATTCTTCACCATTCCCACCCTAAATTCCCTGGCTACTTCCTAACTCAAAGTGTCCTGACTAGATTAGCTTTTAACCTTTTATGACACATGACACCTGTAATTATTTTTGTATTCATAAATAGCCCCTATTTAGTATTTAATGTATACAATGCACTGGGCTAAGCACTTACTCATATTATATAATTTATTCCCTAGAAATGTACTAAGTACCATTATTACTCCAATTATAGATGATAAAACTGAGACCTAAAAAGGTTAAATAACTTGCCTAAAGTCACCCAGCTATTACATTGAAGGCACCAGGATTGGCACCTTGATTTGACTCCAGAGACTATACTCTCAGCCACTCTTATTGCATCAAGTCATTTGATTATGTACCCTCCCCATTACTATATACATAAAAACTAACCCCATTAGTTTGCTCATTCATTGGTTCATTGAGAAAGTTCATTGAGTGCTTGCTTAACAGGATAAAGTAGTGAAAAACAGCTCCTAACCAGGAGAAACTTATGATCTAGGAGTGGAAATAGAAAAGTAAACAATTAGAATACAATGATATTTTGTATGATACAGGAACACCTTATTCATTCCATGAACAATTTCCTTAGGAAGATGGGATTCCTAAATTGAATCTTAAGGAAGGAAAATTGACTCGTTAAGGTTCAATTATGCTTTGGTTTCATAATTAGGGAGCTAGTTTTAAAAAGAGCAAAGGGTATCTGGCTGGCTCAGTTGGTAGAGCATGCGACACTTGATCTCAGGGTCTTGAGTTCAAGCCCCACATTGAGTGTGGAGCCTATTTAAAAAAAAAAAAAAAAAGCTTTCTACAAAGAGCTAAAGAAATTAAAAGGTTGAAAAATAATTTTGAAAGATAGCCTTCATATATCTGAAGAGTCTTAAAGCAATGATAATACAATGACAGTACTTAATTTGTTCTGTATCTTTATTGAGGCCCAAACAAGAAATGTGCTTGTAAACTAAAGCTTGACTTTTAGCTTAGGCCCCAGGAAACATTTCCAAACCACTTAATATTGGAACACAGTAGATAAATTCTCCATCAGAGGTTTCTAATGAAATAGAAAAAACTTACATACATGAAAGCGAACTGTAGAGTGACATACAAATGTTATCTTCAGATTAGGGTATTTTTGGGTGGGGGGATAGGAGATGGAAGGGTACTTACAGTAAATCGGGGTTTTCTTCTGTGCCCCTTAGTGCTGGCAATTTGAGCAAACCTAAATATCTAATCTAGCTAAAGCTATTGTTACCTAATCAAGCTTCACTTGGGAGCTTCTAACGTGATTTTTTTTTTTTAATGTTTTTATTTATTTTTGAGACAGAGAGAGACAGAGCATGAGCGGGGAAGGGGCAGAGAGAGAGGGAGACACAGAATCTGAAGCAGGCTCCAGGCTATGAGCTGTCAGCACAGAGCCCGACACGGGGCTCAAACTCACAGACTGTGAAATCGTGACCTGAGCTGAAGTCGGACGCTTAACCGACTGAGCCACCCAGGCGCCCCTAACATGTGATCTTTTAACATGATTTTTTTTTTAATTTTTTTTCAACGTTTTTTATTTATTTTTGGGACAGAGAGAGACAGAGCATGAACGGGGGAGGGGCAGAGAGAGAGGGAGACACAGAATCGGAAACAGGCTCCAGGCTCTGAGCCATCAGCCCAGAGCCTGACGCGGGGCTTGAACTCACGGACCGCGAGATCGTGACCTGGCTGAAGTCGGACGCTTAACCGACTGCGCAACCCAGGCGCCGCTTAACATGATTTTAATGGTTCTTTTTAAACACTAGTCAGTTCATTATTAATACTTAAAGGATTAATCAAACTAAAGAAGAGCTCAATTCAAACTTATGTGAATGTTGATTCTTATGTTTTCAAGTCAGTCAGTACAATGGCCACTAGAATTTTGGGGCAGTCCCCTACAATTTTCTCTTCCTACCAGGTATACACTGGTACATATCAGTATATTTTATATTTAAAATAAATATGAAAGGGAAAACATTCCTGCTGGGCTTGACAGCAGCATTTTACTTTTTGGAATAATTATGCTTTCTACTACAGAGCTTAAGAGTTCTTTTTTTTTTTTTTGTATGTGTGATTGAGGGGGGGCACCTGGTGGTCAGTTAAGCTGATAACTCCTGAGATTTCAGCTCAGGGTCCTAACAGTTTGTGAGTTTTGGACCCTGCATAGGGCTCTGCACTGACAGCACAGAGCCTACTTGGGATTCTCTTTCTCCCTCTGCCCCTCCCCCCAAATTAATAAATAAGCTTAAAAATATATGTGTGTAGTTTAACTACATGGAAGTAATATAGTAAATTTTAACTTATGTATTCTGTTTCATAACAATTAAGCAAATATTTATTGGGCCCCTAGTGTTTGCGAGGCTCTGTGCTAAGTGTCAAAGATAAATAGATGATATAATGATCCCTGTCCTCAAGTAACTTATAACCTACTTTTAGTTCACTGGAAATTTATTAAAATGGAAAAATTCCTAAACAATGTGTTAAGTGTCACAATGAACAAACACAGAGGAAGGAATACCAGAATCTGTCTAGGCTTTCCTTGATAAAATTTAATCTGCAGATATTTTGTCTTGACCGTGTGCATCAGCAGCACATCACAGCATTGTGAATTACTCCTGCTTAAAATGGTTCTATATAACCTCGATCTAAATCAATATAGTCTTGTATTTTTACTGCCCATGTTAAGGACTGTGGGGGGGTGGGGAGGAAGAAAGTTCTCTTAAAAATCCTGAAAAATCAAAATAAAACCACTCAAGTCAGTTTTTGAGTAATTTTTTTGCCAACTTATAAAAATTAGCATGAATTGGTTTCTGTTTCAGTGTCTGGATATTAAAATGTTTTATGTAAATGGAAGACACTTTAAATCAGCACCTTTTAAAATTTCTTTTAACCATTTAGGTGCAACCAGAAGTGTAATAGTTGGAATTTGAGTTGCCCTTTTTTTTTTTTTTTTAAAGGTTTCCTTTGGATCCTAAAAGAAGAAAAGAATGGGTTCGCCTACTTAGGCGCAAAAATTTTGTGCCAGGAAAACACACTTTTCTTTGTTCAAAGCACTTTGAAGCCTCCTGTTTTGACTTAACAGGACAAACTCGACGACTTAAAATGGATGCTGTTCCAACCATTTTTGATTTTTGTAACCATTTAAAGTCTATGGTAGGTAACATTACTTTTCTTTTACCCATTTTTACCATTTTTAGTACCCATTCTTTTTTGCTTATAAAGTGGGACCATTCAGAATACATGGAAATTCATATATAATGATCTGCCTCAGGAAAGTTGCAAAACTTCCTCTTTTGCAGTAAAGGTGCACGCTAGAGACCAGGTCTCCCTAACTCCAATATTTTTTCCCCATTCCAAACTGTTTTTACTATATTGGGATTTTACATTATTTCCAGTTATTATCAATAATTGAACCAATGATAAAACTGAGAAATCATGAGTAATGAAACCTCCAGCATCATTCTGCTCTGATTTTAAGGTAACATTTAAAATGTGTGCAAAGAACTTTAAGAATAGCACACCCAAAGAATACAAGAGTTACACTAAAGAATATAAGTTCAGAGGAAAGCATAACAAAGATTCATAGAGCTCAGGCATTTAAGCTGGCTTGAGCTTGGAGTTTGGAACTTAAGAGAGGGTTCTTGACCTTGCACAGAACAATTACGATAACATGATGAGAACAAAAGCCAATGGGTTGAGGGTAAGTAGAAAATAATCAAATGTTAGCAAGTGATATGTAAAAGGAAAGAGAATTAAGGCACATGATGAATGTATTAGAACAACGTTTTATATAGCTAGGCAAAATCTGACCAGAGAGGAAAATTTATTTGTCCACAAATGAATCCCTATATGTTTTGATGTTTGTTCAGTCAATAAAAAACACAAAGTTATGAGGTTATGACATACCCTCGGAACTGGAAGTGGTTTAGTATTGTGAGTATAAATCAAGACGGTGAATGGCAGGAGTGAGATCCTAAATAGTAAGTTTGCCTTGTTTTTTCTTTATGTAATTAGGCAAAGAGGAATTTAGCCAGTTACAGAAACATCAAATCTGTTAGAAAAATTATTCTGGTGGCAGAATATGAATTAAGATCAGAATAAGGCAGGCATCAATAAAGAAGTTTCTAATATCCTCAAGCCAGATGTGATGTATGGGCCTGATGTGGACAGTAGCATTAAGAGTGATGGAGAGGGAAAGATTCATGATAGAGATATTTAGGAGGTAGAAATAATGGGACTTGATGAACAATCAAATGAAAGACATAAAGGGAAAAAAGGTCCTCAGGGTCCTTGGGTTTGGGTAAAAAGTTCCTAGCCAGATTTTAAATCCTTGAATGGAAGATGTAACTGAACAATTAATAAGTAAATCTATTCAGGAGCTTGATACTTGGAAATAATTTAAAATATTACCAAATTGAAAGAATAGGATGTACCTAAAAAAGAGTTTAAATCACTATCACAGATAAAACAAATGTTTAAATACATTACATTGGCCTTAGTGAGAAAATTGCAAAAGACTTTTAGAGTTTCCATAGAATCATACTCAATAACTTGAAATAACTTGGAAGTCCATTGTCTATTTTCTAATAATATTCACATCTGTCTGAAGAGAAAACACAAAAAGAAATAAGTAAATGGGGTTAATTCAACAAGTTGAGAAACTTGAATCCATGATTATACGAGATGGGCTGTTGATGTTGCCTATCAAACTTTTAAAATCAGTTTTTAAAAGAGAGGTTTAATTACGTGTATACAAAACAGGATAAAATTCACTTATTTGTGATATTCCATCGTTTATGTTCAACCCTTTGATTTTATTTGGCTTAGAAACTCAAGTCAAGGAATCTTTTGAAGAAAAACAACACTTGTACTCCAACAGGACCATCTAATTTAAAATCAAACATTAGTAGTCAGCAAGTACTACTTGAACACAGTTATGCTTTTAGGAATCCTATGGAGGCCAAAAAGAGGATAATAAAACTGGAAAAAGAAATAGCAAGCTTAAGAAAGAAAATGAAAACTTGCTTACAAAAAGAACGCAGAGCAACACGGAGATGGATCAAAGCCACGTGCTTGGTGAAGAATCTGGAAGCAAATAACATATTACCTAAGGGTACATCAGAACACATTTTACCAACTGCCTTAAGCAGTCTTCCTTTGGAAGATTTCAAGATTCTTGAACAAGAGCAACAAGATAAAACATTATCAATTCTCTAAAACAGGCTAAGAATACCTTCATTTAAGATTAGCCTACATAAAACTTGATGCCCATCCTTCATTCTCTTCAAAGGTAAAGATATTTAAGGAAATTATGCCAAAATTGGGTATTTAATAAAGTTTTACTTGAACTAACATTATTACTGTATAATTCCTGAAGATTTGATTACAAAAAAAATGGAAGCTTTTTATGAAAATTTTATTTGAAAAAGAATGAAAGTGCCTTACATGAGAATTATGTACTTAAAAATTTTGCTAGGGAATTGTATGTTTGCAAGATGTTTTGTGTTTTTGTCTTTTAAGGCTACTTTTAAAGAACTATCTATGACAATGTGTTTAATTTATATTAGAAAAACAGGGTTTTTTTTTCCTGTAACAATGTTAGGATATTACATTCTAAATAGGATGCTAAGGGGGAGTTAACCAACATTAAATATGACTTTAAAACTGCTGGGTTTTGGGGCGCCTGGGTGGCGCAGTCGGTTAAGCGTCCGACTTCAGCCAGGTCACGATCTCGCGGTCCGTGAGTTCGAGCCCCGCGTCGGGCTCTGGGCTGATGGCTCAGAGCCTGGAGCCTGTTTCCGATTCTGTGTCTCCCTCTCTCTCTGCCCCTCCCCTGTTCATGCTCTGTCTCTCTCTGTCCCAAAAATAAATAAACGTTGAAAAAAAAAATTAAAAAAAAAAACTGCTGGGTTTTGTATTAATTATTATTGGCACTGTGATCTGGAAATTTTATAGGAAAAAAAGATATACAAGGCAAGTTCTTTTATTTAAACTTTCTGTATCTGCTTACCAATAAAAGTGTGCTAATCATGGCCTCCCTCATAAAAATATTAGCTTTTAAAATAGATTGTAAAATATTTCGAAAATAATATTTTTAATATGAAGTACTCTGGAGTCATCCAAGCAAGGTTAAGACCTCAAGTACCTCAGACTAGTAAAAACTGGTAGCTGATTATGTGTTGTGAAATAATGCAGATGTTGTGATCTAGCTTTTACCTTAGTTAAACAAAAAGATAAATCTATACTATTTTTCTCATAATAAAAATATTACATTTTGATTCCAAAATGTATGCATTAGACAACATGATACAAAGTTCCATATTAGCAATATGTTCTCTACCCCCATGTATGTTGGTACCGAAACTCTTAAGCTTTTTTTTCTCCATAATCCCACAATAGGATTTAATAACAGAAGTACTTACTATATACCTTCACAACTTATAACTTAAAATGGAATCAATTTATCGTATATATCAGCTTGCTTTTATCTCCTTTTTTAGTGAGTCAAATAGAGCAACTGTACTGCATAAGGGAAGTGAAATGTATTTTCTGTAAAAATACTGTGTCCAGGGGCACCTAGGTGGCTCTGTGGGTTAAATGACCTACTCTTGATTTTGTCTCAGGTCATGGTCTCATGGTTCATGAGTCCAAGCCCCACATCGGAGCCTGCTTGGAATTCTGTCTGTCTCTTCCTCGTGTGCATGGTCTCTCTCTAAAATAAATAAACTTTTTAAAAAAATATATGTGTCTGATAAAGCTATGCAAATGCTATTTTACAAAACAATCTGAGAACTATTCTTATAGTTGCCTCTTGACTAATTAAAAGAGTTCACATTATTTCACCAGATAAATTGTAATTTTAATAAGAACGCTTTCCTTCAAACAACTTTGGGCAAATCACATTGTTTATTAATGTGTAATCAAGTTATTCAATCCTAGTTCAAGCTTCTGACACTACCATATGAAAGTAGCATATACCTAACCATAATTGCTATACCTTTTTCCTTTAAAGTAATGGCTATTTTGTAAAAAAAAAAAAATTGGGGGAAATTTTTTTGTTGTTTTTGTTGTGATGGTTTTT